GTCTAAGTTTAGTGAGAGACTCTGTCTCTAAAGATAAGGCAGAAGGTGATAGAGAAAGACACCCCACACTGACCCCTGGCCTCAAAACATACATACACAAATCAAACATAGGTTTATTTATTTATTTATTTATTTATTTATTTATTTTATGTGTATTGCCTGCGTGTAGGTGAGTGCACCCATGTCGTGCAATGCCTGCAGAGGACAGAAGACGCCCCTGGAACTGGAGTTATGGACAGTTGTTAGCTGCCCTGTGGGTTCTGGGATTCGAACCCGGGTCTTCTATAAGAACAACCAGTGTTCTTAACTGCTGAGCCATCTCTCCAGCCCCCAAACATAGTTTTTAACTTGTTTTATTTTATATGTATGAGTTTTTGCCTGCATATATGTAGCTGTACCACATGTGTGCAATACCTGTGGAGGCCAGAAGAGAGTGTCAGATTTCCCTGGAACTGGAGTTATGGACAGTTGTTAGCCACCATGTGGGTGCTGGGAACTGAACCCAGGTCCTCTGCAAAAGCAGTCAGTGCTCTTAACCACTGAGTTGTCCTTCCAGCCCCAAATACATCATTTTTCTTTGAGCTCCTTCCAACTGAGATTTCACTATGATCATTGCCTTAGCATCATTTACTAGGAGCATGTATTAAGTCTCCATTATATATCTGGGGTTAGTTACCTATAGCCTTTTCGGGAAATGATGTTATTGCAACCCAGGGATTTTGGTCAGGAATCTGTCTCTTTATCTTAAGCCTCATAATCCAATGAGTAACTGAAGTGGGTGGAAGTCCTCACCCAGATCAGATGTCCATCCTATGTGCCCCAGTGTCAAAAGCTACACAGGTCACTTTCTTTCCTAGGCTGGCTCCTGTGCCTTACTGCTTGTCAATTTGTAAAGGGCTTTTGAGGCAGAGAGGAGAGAACAGGTTGTACCTGGACTTATGGGCTTAGAACTTCAGCCACAAATGACAGCACTTTCCAGTGCTATGCTGTAGACCAGGATAATTCCTGTTCTTACCAAATAAATAGATAAAAATTATGTGTGCATTTTATGTAAGCTGTTCAAGTGTCTTTTCTTGGAAAAAGCTGTCTCATGTTCTGAGAAACAACAGTCTTTCCTTAATCGCAGTTTAATGATTTGTCATGAAATTGGCATGGGCATGGTATATACTTGAAAGTGACTATGGGACACAGTTTTCACCTGCCTTCAAATTACAGGTTTCTTCTTTCAGTTAACTCTTTGAACAAGGAAACCATTGATGGATGGAGAACTTTATTTTTGTTGTTTTTATTTTTTTAATGTTTTTAATTTTATGTGTATGAGCATTTTGCCTGTGTGTGTGTGTGTGTGTGTGTGTATACACATGTAATGCCTGAGGAGGCCAGAAGAGTGTGTCAGATCCCTTGGAATTGGAGTTATAGATGGTTGCTAGCTGTCATGTGTGTGTTGGAAAACGAACCTGGGTCCTCTGTAAGAGTAGACAGTGTTCTAACCACTGAGCAATATCTCAAGCCCGTAGATGGACAACTTTAGAAAGGAAGTCTGTCTGTGGGGATCACTGGGATTTTGGTTCATACTGTGTTCTTTCTAAGAGGAAGAGGAACATTGACTTCACTAAAATAACACTTTGTTTCCAAAGATATTTAAAAATCTAAATTGGACGTCCAGTCATGACTAACAGTCCTTCTGTTTTACTGGAAAGTTTGTTCCCTTTTCCATTACATATTTAGATTTATTACCATCATTTTTTGTATACTTTGGAGCTCTTAACTAGGACATTTTTTTTTTATTTCTGCTGAGATAGACATTATCATTATAGTTTTATACAATCAACATTTATCAAGAGTTGTCCAGGGCTGATTTGATGACTCAGCTGGTAAGGGCACTAGCTGCCAAGCCAAGCCTGATGACCTGAGTTTGAGACACAGGACCCACAGAGTATTAGAAGCGAACCCCTATAGGTTGTCCTCCTGACTACCACCTGTGTGCCATGGCCTTTGGAATACACACAATCAATAAATAAAATTCTAAAAGGGGTGTTGTCCATGTAGTGATTGATATCTTGGCTCACGTCTTTTTTTCTACCACATTTCAATGCATCGCCTACTGTTTTATTTTTGTATGAGTTGTTTTCTTTAAGTTGGATATTAGAATTGAATTCTTGTATCCTAAAGTTTTCCTGAAAATATCTTCATGTCCCCTTTACTGTGGAAATAAAATTTTATTGGTTCTAGAATGGTAACTGACTTCATGGTAGGTATTGGAAAGTGCTGCCAGACTGGGACTGATTGTTTATTTTCTAGGTAGCCTGTCTGTCTCTTTTAAGATTTCTGATTTTCTACAATTTTACTAAAGTTGCTTTGGGATTCATCTGTCAGGTTTATTGGATCACCTAGGAAATTCTCAAGTATTGTTTCTTTGAATAGTGTGTTTGTCCTTTTTTCCTTTCGTGTGTGCGTGCATGCATGCGTGCGTGCATGTGTGTGTGTGTCTTTGTATCTGTGTGTGTCTGTCTGTCTGTGTCTGTGTAGGCCAGATGTCAATCTCAGGAGTCATTCCTCACTAGCTGTGTACTTTGTTTTGTTTGTTTATTTGTTTTTGAGATAGGCTCTCTCACTGTGACCTGAATTTTATCAATTAGACTAGGCTGGCTGGCCAGAGAGTCTCAGGGAACTTCCTGGTTCCACCTTCCTGAGCACTGGGATAAAAAGTAAGCACCACCATACCTGGCTTTTTATGTGGCGCTGGGTATTGAACTTAGGTCTTCATGCTTGCATGGCAAGCACTTTATCAACTGAGCCATCATCCCAGGCGTTTTTCTCTCTTCGTAGAATTCGGCTACTCCTGTCACTTTGTTGCTCCGCTATTCACATATTTGAGGTTGTTTGACATGTTTTGTTTTTCTCTGTTTCTTGGGTTGCATTCTGGACAATAACTTCATCTCATCTTTAATTCAGACATTCTGTCTTTACATATTTTGATTTTGTTATCTACTATGTTTTGACTCTCAAAACAACATAGTTTACATTTCTCAACATTCTTTTCAGTTTTTCCCGGATCTCATTGAGCATTCCGTATTGTCTTTTTATTTTTATCAAAGCATCTGTTTTATTTCTTTGAAATATAAAATAATTCCTTTATCTTCATTTTCAACTAATTCCTGGAGCTCACTCTTTGCTCCTTTAATTTGGTTACAGCTGTTACTGGTTTTCAATTTGAGTGTCTTGTTTCCTTTGATGTTTTGTGACTGTTTTCTGTTATCCTTCACTTTCTGTAGAATTTTTCATTGTAATCCTGAGAGGATTTGCCTGTATTATTGCTGGCTCTTTAGAGAACTACCCTAAATTATCACTTTAAATTGAACTCCCCACTTGAGGATTTTCATCATACATATAATGGGAATTTCAACAAGCTACCCTCAGAAGAGCTGAGATGTGGCTTAAAACTTTCTAAAAAGAACTGACCTGCTTCACCCAACATCAAGAATGAGGTGGGGGGGGGCTGGAGAGATGGCTCAGTGGTTAAGAGTACTGGCTTTTCTTGCAGAAGACCCAGGTTCAAATCCCAGCACCCACATGGTGACTAATAGTCGTTCGTAACTCCAGCCAGTTCCACGGGATCCAATGCTCTCTTTTGTCCTCCGTGGACACTGCATGACACAGGTATACTTACACACATTCAGGCATAGCACTTGGGCATATAAAAATAAATAAATCAAAGAATCTTTTTAAAAAAAGAATGAGGTAGGGTAAGTATCCTTCCCATGTTGTTCAATGCCTTTGGAGTTTGGAAGAGAGCGTCAGATCCCCTGGAACTGGAGCTACAGAAGTTGTTAACCACTATGTAGGTGCTGGGAACTGAACCTGGGTCTTCTGTAAGATCAGCTAGTGCTCTGAACCGCAGAGCCATATCTCTAGCCCCTCAACCAGTATTTTCACAGCCTCAAGCTACCTTCCACTCAATGTGACCAAAGAATGAGGCAGTCTCTTTCCAGCCTTAGTGTTCGTCTGCGTGTATGGGTGTCCCTACCCACACATGATACACTTACATACATGCTGGCAAAACACTCATACACATAAAATAAAAATATTTCTTTAAAAAGCACATGGGGTTGGGGGTGTCCAGGCATCACTGCAGCTGCCACAAAGGTGGAGTTTATCACTAGCATGTTTCTCCCTGTCTGTTGTGTAGTGTGTACCCCATGATTCACAACTGAAACCTGATTCATTTCATATTTTGAGTGCAGTTGTTTGCTACATTCCTAAAATACATTTTTTAAGAACATCAATTTTTTTGGCATTACTAGGGATGGAACAGAGGGACTTACACATTCTAACAAAAGCTCTACAACTAACCTACACTTCCTAAAAACCAGTGTGTATGTGTGTGTGTGTGTGTGTGTGTGTGTGTGTGTGTGTATGTGTGCATGCACACACATGCACATGTGGAAGGGCCGGGGGACAACCTTAGATTATCATTCCTCAGGGGCTATCAAACTTATTTTATGAGACAGGGTCTCTCGCTGACCAGAGCTTGCCATGTAGTCTAGCATGGCTAACCAGCAAGTCCCAGGGATCCACTGTTTCCACCTCCTGGGTGCTGGGATTACAAGCATGTACCACCACTCCTGGCTTTTTTTTACATGGCTTCTGGAGATTTAACTTAGCTACTTCTGTTTAAAGTGAGGACTTTACCAACTAAGCCCAATAACAGATTTAAAAAATAATAATAATGATTTTTATTTTATGTGTAGGATTTTTTTCCTGTGTGAATGTATACACACCACATGTCCACCCCATGTTTGCAGAGACTCGAAGAGGCCATCAGATCCCCTGGAGCTGGAGTTACAAATGGTTGTGAGCTGCCACGTGGGTACTAGCAACCAAACCTGGGTCCTCTGCAAGAACAGCAAATGCTCTTAACCACTGACCCATCTCTGCAGCACCCCCATACCTTAATGGACTTAAATGCACTATATTTACATGCTCATTTTCATCTACAGGGTCACATCAATTGCAGACAGGTTGAATGTGGAATTTGCTTTGATTCACAAGGAGAGAAAGAAAGCAAATGAAGTGGACCGTATGGTTCTGGTGGGTGATGTGAAAGACCGCGTGGCCATCCTGGTGGATGACATGGCAGACACGTGTGGAACCATCTGCCATGCTGCAGATAAGTATGTTCAGAAAAGCATAAGGACATCTTAAGAAAAAAAAGCAGTTTTTGGATTTTGATTTTTAAAATTTGGGGCTGTTTTGAATTATTGCTAATGGTTTGGCACTGGAGTGTTAAGCTTAAGGAAATTCTAGGCTCATTTTCTTTTCATTCTTTCCTTGGTAGGAAAAAAAAATGTGGTCCTTTTCATTTTCTTTGTTGGACATTCAGATTATTTTTAAGAGTCAAAGAAAGTAATTTCCTGGAAGCCAAACCCAAAAGAACAGTTTTTTGTTTGTGTGTTTTGTTGTTGCTGTTGTTGTTGTTGGGTTTCCTTGCATCCTTGTCCAACCTTCATGATAACCTTATAGGTCGTATGGCTTTCCAGAGGCCACAGAGCTTCCTTGGCCAGGGTGGGGGCCTTCCCTTGCCATGCATGACTGTGGAATACTCAGGAGGTGGGCAGTCTAACTTAAGATGCATTCACGAGCTCCCTGACAGTGTTCTGAACTGATGACACATCATAGATTTTGGCACTATTGTTTGAAACCAGTGGCTCTCAATTAGCAATAGTTTTGTTCCCTGGATAATATTTGAAATGTTTTAGAGCTATCTTTGGTTGTTACAAGAAGGGAATGGGAATATTGCTTGTGTGTGGAGGGCAGGATGCTATTGAATTTCCCCATGATAAATGGATAGGATGGCCCCCATGAAAAAAGGAACTACATCGACCTAAATGCCTGGATTGATAATCTCTGATTTAAAGGAAGACAAAGACTTTTGCTAACACATACATTTAAAAGATCCCAGTTTGGGCTAAACACAAATACCATTTGTCTCACCTTTTCCTTTATGAGACACAATTTACACTTCTAACATAGATACAAAGGTAGAGTAATTCAAGAATATTTGAATATTTGTATACACTACATTTTGTTTTCTGAGATAGGGCATTCTTCTGTAGTTCCAGCTGGTATTGAGATCACAGTCTTCCTGCCTCAGCCTTTCTGTTGCTGGAATGACCAGTGTGCATATGACAACTAGTAATTTTTTTAATGTATTTATTTTCATTTTATGTGTATGAGTGTTATGCCTTCATGTATGTAAGTGCACCTGTGTCATGCAATGCCCACAGAGGCCAGAAGAGGGCATCGGATCCCCTGGAACTGGAATTATGAATGGTTGTTAGCCATCATGTGGGTGCTGGGATTCAAACCCAGATCTTCTGCAAAAATAGCCAGTGCTCTTAACTGCTGAGCCATCTCTCTACCCCACAACTAGTAATTTTTTATGTTCTGTTTTGCAGGCTACTCTCAGCTGGAGCCACCAAAGTTTATGCTATCCTTACCCATGGAATCTTCTCTGGGCCAGCTATCTCCAGAATAAATAATGCTGCCTTTGAGGCTGTTGTAGTCACCAACACCATTCCACAAGAGGATAAAATGAAGCACTGCTCCAAGATTCAGGTACATCTAAACCTTAGTCACAGCCATGGCAAGGCAAGTGCTTCAGATCCTTAAAATAGCATCCATCTTTCTGTGTGTGACTACTTGATAAGGCACATGCTACCAGAGACTGAAGCATCTCATCATAATGGGTTATCAGTCATGTTTGATCCCTGAGAATGGTTAGGATTAAGAGGTTAGTGATCACTATTTAGAAATAGAAAATGAAAAAGAAAGGGGAAGGGAAGCAGGAGGGAGGGAGGCAGGCAAGCAGGGAGGAAGGGAGGCACCAACTAAGGGACAGAGGGAAGGAAAGGGGGAAGGAGGGCTAGTGATGTAAACTTATTTGGAAGAGTTTTTGCCTATCATACATGATGCCCTGGGTTCTATACCCAGTACTGAATTAAGCAGATATTGTAGTATATACCTGTAATCCCAACACTCAAGGAGGTGGAGGCAGGAGGATCAGGAGTTCAGGGTCAACTTCAATTCGAAGCAAGCCTGCAATGCATGACACCCTATCTCAAAGTATTTTTTTTAAGAAATAGTAAATGATCTGGGTATGGCATTACACATGTAGAATCCTATTACTTTGAAAGTAAAGGTAGGGGCATTATGAAGAGGCCACCCTGTGTTATGTGTGATCTTGTCTCACAAAGAAATAGCAAATGGCACCCATGAGATGGCTCAGCAGGTGGAAGGAGAGAACTGACTGCTGCAAGTTGTCTCCTGACCTCTACATATGCGCCATGGCACACATCACCCCACAGCACCCTACACACAAATGAATGTCATAAAAAATACAAAGAATAAAATCACCATGGAAACATTACGAGAACTAGGGATATTTTCAGTATAGCACATGCCTAGCATGCCAAGCACCAAGAAAAACAAAACAAAACAAAACAAAACAAAACAAAATTAGGAAAACAGTGAGAAAGTTAAACCTAGAACAACTCCACCCCTAGATATATACTGCCCTAAAAATGAGGGGATAGTACAAAGCAGCAGGCTATACTAAGTACGTTAGGAGCTTCCTCTTTCTTGTCTCCTGACTAGATGCCCACAGTTACCATCCCCTGTTACCAGGGAATTTGATTCCCAGAACCCACTTAGATAATCCACTCCACAAAATTTTGTTCTGACACCCATATGCACACCATAGAACATGTGTATCCACTCATACATCATTTTATACACACACACACACACACACACACACACACACACGTGCATGTGCATGCATAAAATAATTTAAAAATAAACGTCTTAACTGATTAGAGTTCCATACTGAAGTGCACTCAAGTGGAAAGATATGTTTTATAGGACTTTCTTTATAATACGCTATAAGAAATATCACCAGGAAAGTTGAGTAGACAAGACATAAATAGTGTGACAGGAGAGATGGCTCAGTGGTTAAGGGCATTGGCTGATCTTGAAGAGGACCTGGATTTGGTTGCCAGCACCCACATCACAGCTAACAACTATCTGTAACTCTAGTTCCAGGAGATCTGACACCCTCTTCTGACCTCCACAGGCATTCCACAACATGGGTGCACTTACATACATGCAGCCAATACACTCAAACACATAGAATAAAATAAAAAATAATAAATTGAACATTTAAAAACATAAATAGCGTTATCTTGATTTTTTTAAGTCCAGTGTTTTATAAATGGCTGCTTTCATAATTATCTGCCGTGATTATAGTAAATAATTAAGAAATAAAATTAAAGAGACAGCACTTTTTAAAAAGATGATGGTCACTGTTGTTTCTGAGACATAGAAAAGCTTCTGCCAATGAGTAAGGAAAACTAATTTCAAAACAACAAATGTCCCGTGAAGTGGTTAGCTGTGGGTAGCAGCAGCCCCGTGTGCCTACCCTGAGTACCTTCCCTCTAGGAACCTCTGGGAGTTTGAGTTATCTGATGGCGATTCCTTCAAAGATAGACCTCAAAGTTGTCTGTCTTCTCAGAAGAAGGAGCTGTGGGAGGTTTGACCAAAGCACACAATGTGCACGCTAGAAGAGACATTTCTAAGCTTTCTGACTTTTTTTGGCTTTTAAAAGAAATAGAATTTAATTCCTTCCTTTGTGTTCTCTTCTTGCAATTCAGGTGATTGACATTTCAATGATCCTGGCTGAAGCCATCCGCAGAACGCACAATGGGGAATCTGTGTCCTATCTCTTCAGCCATGTCCCACTGTAGTCTGAAACAGGATGCAGAATGTGGAGCAAGCCTCCTCCAACTTCTCACTGTTTTTGTCTATCTGCTGTTTTAGCGTTAGGACTCAGCAATACTAGGACGATCACTGGTAAAAGCATCTGATCTCTGTATACTCTGAGATTCCGTGTCTTCCCTTCTAAAGGTCGAGACTACTTCTTTCCAGTTTGGGGGTAGGGGAAGGTGGTAGTTATTTGATCTGTAAGTGAACTGTCATAAATGAGAAATGTTCTTCTCATCTTGACTTGTTCTGATAGATGATCTTTTCCCTCATCTGTTTTAGTACTTTGAGGCAACAACTTTTAAACCTAAAATCCCATTGTGGAAAGTAATCGTTTATATATTTTAAGGTTGCCAAAGGTGACTTCAGTTGAAAGCCTTTTGTGTAAATATATAATGATAATGCCTGTGGACATTTGGGTAAAACCCTATATAGACCTTTACTTCAGAGTGAAGCTCAGAAAATTTATACTACCATGAAGTTTGAATTTATCTATTTTCTAATTTTAAAATGATAACTGGATTTATTTAGCTATTATGCTTAATTTGGACTGAATCTTATTGAACCTAAGGTAGTCACTGACACATTTACTTTTGGTAGACATTAGACATATCAAAAGCAATGTAATTTTGTATTTTTTTATTATTATTACCACTCTGAAGGTATGACGTGTCAACTTACCTGAAACTCCAACATGATGTTCAGCAATCACTATATTTCAAAATGTAATCAGTGCGTTCCCCGTCACATTGATGCTCATCTCTATCCATTCCAGGAGAATAATTCTTTTGGGACACATCTCAAGTCCTATCATTTTGTTCTTTGACTTCATCTTTTTAGTGATAGCCTTTCCTTGCATTTTTTTTTCTCAATAACTTCATGTCGTAGATAGCCACCAAAAGAAAGACTCCCTGAAATCCCCTCAAACTTAATTAAGTTCATCATTATTTTGTTTTAGACATAAACAAAAAGGAGAGGTTTTAAGAGTGCCACCAAATATATTTGTTCAAGCCCTATTTCATGAGCTTTGATGAAATGTTCTTTGGTTCTTTTTAATCAGAGGTAATAAGTCTCTAGCAACTGATTACCTTCACTAAAGTTATGTAAAAATGTAGACAGGAGAAGCCTATGAAAAGAGGATGAAAAAGTAAACAATTGTGCTGTTAAGATAACATTCAAAAATGACTCAAAAATGATTGTGAAGGAGAGATTCCCTGAGGATTGCATTCTTGATAAGACAGTCTTAGCGAAGTATAGTAGTTCACATCTTTAGTCCCAGCACCCAAGCCGAGGCAAGAGGCTCGCCACAAGTTTGAGGCCAGCCTGGGTTACATAGTGAGTTAAAGGTCAGCCTAGACTACAGAGTTGAGACTACCTGTCATAATCAAAAACAATAAAAAAAATCCAGTCCTTTATAAGATCTGTTAAAGTGGCAAAAAAATCCCATTGATTCAATTATGTTGTATGTATGATGATAAACAACCACCCAAATTTTCCTGCCCCTAAAGAGGATTTTCCTGTGTAGACAAAGCTTAAGAATGTTAAACAATCTCTACCCCTGCTGAATCTTAAAACTAGTAGAGAATAAACATCCAGACCTAAGTTCTTCAGGTAGAAAAAATAAAATCTGAGTAACTAACAAACTTGACTAGTACGCTAGGATTTCAGGCTTCAGGGCAGCAGAAAAGTTAGAAAGTATCGTTGAACTTGTTACAAAAACTAGCATTTGTAGTGACTCTGGAGAAAGTGGTCTTGTCACCTGGGATGTTCAGCTCTGGGATATAGATTGTACAAAGTCTTGGCTAGACGTGTTAAAAGGCCTTTTTGATGCTGTGCAGTTTTTGTGATAAATATATGACATATGTATTTCTTGGAATGTTATGCTTCTGTGAGTGTAATGAAGATACAATTCTGCACGCCATATGAACAAGTTTTGGTATGCTGGCATGACGAAAGCCAGTTGATTTAAAGGTAATCGTATTATCTAAGATATTTAAAGATTATGAATATGTACAACAACTATAGGATTTGGGGGGTCTTTCTTTTTTTCTTTGTTTTGGTTTTTTGTTTGTTTTGTTTTTGAGACAGGGTGTCCCTGTAGCCCCAAGCTGACCTGGAACTCTGTATGTAAACCAGGTCCTTGATCTCACAGAGATCCAACTGCCTCTGCTTCCCAAGTGTGGTGGGATTAAAGGTGTGTGTCACCGTGCTTGGCATACAGCCAGTTTTAACATAATGATCTTCAGAGAAAAAAGTTTAAGAATCTGCATGGCTGTCCTCTGAATTAGGAGCTAATGGTTGCTGTTCTTATTTTGCCTTTGAATACATTCATGAACCAACTAGACTGGACTGAGCCTTACATAGTGCAAATGTAGGCTTCAAATATTTGCTGGTTTCAGTTCAGCAGAAGTGATGAGAACTGCCTCATGAGCAGTCTAAACCCAGAACTTTCTCATTCCTTGCTACTTGTGGTGAAAAAAATAATAAACCATAAATGAAATCACCAAATACATCAGTCCTGTCCACCTCTACTGAATGAGGGTATATTAGACATATATCTAACTGAAAGGGGGAGCCAGGAAAATATGAATATACCAAAGTTGCTTAGCCTCCATCTTAAAAATTATATTAGTCAACTGATAAATGTTCATATAATAACTTTCCTTTGTTAGATATGATGTCAACTAAATTCAAGAATTTATTATTTGAAGTGCTTGCACTGGTTTTAGAGAATAGGGAATTTTAAGATTCTGTCATGTTTACTAAAACATTTCAATAAAAATATGCTGACTACTTTGTTTCCTACTTTGTATCATCATTTTAGAGTGATTAGTTTTGATGAAGTGATATGTTTATGAAGTATCTAAAAATGTTTACTACTTTATGATTGAAAACAAGTTTGTAAAATTAAAGGAAAACCAAACATCATTTAAAGTGCACTCTTCTCCATTTTGAAGGTTTTTCTCTGTGAAGGACTTATTAGCAAGCTTCTCTCCCAAAGGTATCACCACTGCTCCACTTAATGCATCCAAGTTGATGTTTCCTTTAAAATTAAAGACCGGGGCCAGTGAGGGCCCAGCAGGTAAACGCTGCTGCCTTGAAGTTTAAAGATATGAGTTCAAATGCCAGGACCCATATGGTGGATGGAAAGAGTCAGTCCCACAAATAGTCTTCTGACCTACACACACACACACACACACACACACACACACACACACACACAAAATGTTTAAAATAAGGGCTGCACCATGTATTGTGTTTCCACATCCAAGTAGTCATGTTCAATATCCATTTATTGGAACAGCCCAAACACAAATGTAGGCCACATAAAAGTTCGTGTGCTTTGATTAAGGGGTATCGGAAGGCTTCTGGTCCCCTTCCAGCACCTCCCTGTTTAGGAACTGTATAGATTATGCTCCTGGGGACAAAATAGTTTTGTGTCTGTATGTGTGTTGTGGGCATGTGTGTGTGAAGGACGTCCAGAGATCGACATCGGGTATCTTCCTAAATTGTTTGAAACAGAATTTCCCACTGAACATGGTGCTTGCTGATTTGGCTAGACTGGCTGGTCAGCGAGTTCGGGGATCTTCTTGTCCCTTCCTCACCATTACTGGGATTATAGGCTCTTCCACCATGACTAGCTTTTTACTCGAACTCAGATCCTCATGCTTCTACCGAAAGCACTTTACAGACAGATCTATTTCCCTTGCCCTGGGACAAAATACATTTATAATTATTTTCTTCCAGTGAAACAACTTTAAAGCATGGAAAGTGCTGAGACTGGCAACCAAATGCCTCAAAATCACCAAGAAATGTAAAATAGGTCTATTTGAGGAACCGATTTGAAAGAGAACATAATGGAATATTCTACAAAGAAAGAAGAAAGCAAATGAGAGGTAGAAACAGAACACCAGCTTTCTAGTTCCACCTAATGCTGTCACATCTTGGAGGTGTTTCATTTCCTATGCAAGTCCTCCCTAATGCACCCTCTGAACTACAGGCACCAGGCCAGGTGGGGAAGGGGAAGATGCACCCCAAGGAGTTTGCAAAGGACTTAAGTGAAGTGACTACTCTTACGAGTAGTAATTCACCACAGAATTTTCCAGAATGTAAGTTATATTCCAGCACAGATGAAAACAAAACAGCATAGGCTGTTTGGTACATCATATATGATGTGTTGAAAGAAGGATAGCCAGGGAACATGGCAGTTAGTGTTTGAAACGCACAACCATATCCTTCATCCAAATTGAATGTACAAGTCAATAGAGTACTTAGAAATGATTGGCTTGTGGGACTGCAGAGATGGCCCACGGTAAGTGCTTATGTGCAAACATGAGGACTTCAGTTCAAATTTCCAGCAACCATGTACAAAGCTAGGTGTGGCCACTCACATACCTGTAATTCCACAACTCTGAGGCACAGAGACAGGAAGATTGTTGGGGCTTGCTGACTGCCAGCCTAGTTCCAGGATCAATGAGAGAGGCTGTCTTAAGGTGGAGAGTGACAGAGCAGGACATGTGATGTGACATACTAAACCGATCAGTTTGTATGCTAACTTTACATTTTAGAACTAATAAGTGTGCCCTTGGAAAGGATGCAAGATAGAAGCAAGATTCTCGTGTGCTTTCTAGGTGTATAGTCCATGGGGAATGCAACCTCCACACCCGACATTTTAGGAGTGGTTCATAGGCTTGACATGTTTGCCTGAGCCAAAGATAGCACTTACATGCCAACAAATAGCTGCATGTGGGAAACACTCCCAGTGGGCTGCACAAATGGCAGGTAGAGATGAATGCCCCTTGACCACGGAGATGTTGATCCACCAAGGCCTCATCCAAGCCGATTCCGCTGCAACCCTATTTCATCATCCCATCGAAAGTACCACTGAAAGGGGTAGCACGCTGAGTTCTGTGGCCAGAGGACAAAGCAGCTGAACTGGTTTTACATTTTAAGAGCATCATAAAAAGGGAACAAGAATGCCAAAAAAAAAAAAAAAATGGAAAAGAGTGGGAAGTAGCCTAGATTCAGAATGTGGCAATCTGGAGTCTGGTCCTGATTAGTACACTGTGGACTCAGGGAAAATGTCTGCACTTCTCTGAATCTAAAAATCTCTGTAAAATTCGTGTGAAGGAAGATGATTCCCAGTGTCACCAACAGTTTTAATATTTTAGATCTAGTTGAAACAGACTGACTGATGACTGTGATTCCTGTGAGGGAAAAATGGAAAGTTATTCCTCCATCAAGTAAACAACTCATTTTGATTTGTTCAGGGGATTTCTCAATCTTTTTTTGGATATTTTATTTATTATCTTTATTTTATGTGTATGAGTGTATTGCCTGCATGCATGTAAGTGCACCCATGTCGTGCAATGCCTGTGAAGGTCAGAAGAGGCTGTTGGATCCCCTGGAACTGGAGTTACGGACAGTTGTTAGCTGCCATGTGGGTGCTAGGATTCGAACCCGGGTCTTCTGCAAGAACAGTGTTCTTAACCGCTGAGCCATCTCCCCAGCAGTGTTTTTCTCAATCTTAATGAAGGTCCTACATCCCAGGAAACCATAGGCAACCTGGAACATTTGTTTGTCATAATTCCCTCCCTTCTAAGGCAGCATATTGGCTAAGGACTCCCAAGAATATAGCTCTGATTTGTGCTGGTTACCCCCCGAAAAAAAAAAAAACAAATGTACCTGAGAACTGTGGTGCAAATGATAGCTCTTTCTGCATCTATTTTTGTCTGACCACCGAAGCTGAAGCGCTAATTTGGAAAGGAAGAAGGGAATCACTTTTAGAAAATATGACCAACGGTTGGAGAGGTGGCTCATTGGGTAAGATTCTTGGCCACATAAGCCTAAGAACTTTGTTTCAAACTGCCATATTCTATGTTTAAAAACCTATACACAGTAGTGTTTGTGTGTGTGTGTGTGTGTGTGTGTGTGTGTGTGTGTGTGTGTTTATAACACCTACAAGAAGATCAGAGACAGAGACGAGTTGTCTTATGTGCATTTATATAAGAACTTTATTGGCCACAAATACTTTAGAGAATTTATATAGGACTATAGTAACATCAATTATACAGATGTACTCAAACCTTGCTAACTTTTTGCAATACTGTTTTTAGGTTTTTCTTCAATTCCAAGAACCTTTTATAGATCATAATGTAGTGTTATCTGAGGTCAAAGTCTAGCCCAGGTGTCTTCAGGTTCTTGGCCTTTTTAAAAATATATATTTAATTGAGTTTTTGTGCATTTCATATAATAGTTCTTAATCAAATTTGGACCCTTTCCCCCATCCATTCCCCTCCCCAATATCCCCCCACTGGATTTCACACCTGGAAGCCTTCTCATGGGTACACTGTAAATATAACCAAATACACATGGCTGTAGAGGTCATAGATCCTAGAATAAACTCTCTGTGTCATATATCTAGGCAAATGAAATTTCTTTTTAATTTATTTTTTATTCTATGGGTATGAGAGTATTGCCTACATGTGTGTAAGTACACCCATGTCGTGCAATGCCCATGATGGTCAGAAGAGAGTTTTAGATTCCCCTAGAACTATAGTTATGGAAGATTGTTAGCCACCATATGGGTGCTGGGAATCAAACCCACGTCCTCTACAAGAGCAGCCAGTGGTCTTAACTGCTGAGCCATCTCTCCAGCTCCAAATGAAATTTCTTACCATATGCTACATACGGATCCTTATAATTACAGATAAATATATTATACACCACTCATCAAAGAAGCTTCTTTTTGCAACATATAGAGGCTATTACAGAGTTCCACAACCTGTCACACACAGAGGATATATGTCTGAAAGATGCCCAGCTTTAAGTGACACAACTACAGGGGAACCTCTATACCAAAGGCTCATGGAACATAGCAGAACAAGGGGTGGAGAGAATACTAATAGATTCCTCAACTCTCACCAGTGAAGCTTCCTCACACAACAGAGTACAATGCACACAGAAGGCCACAACTGGCTAATTTTTAGAGAATAAGAGACTATAGAGTGGGTGTCCCTGGATAAGATTCCTATATTAAACCTTTTGGCCTTTTGTTGTTGTTGTTGTTGTTGAGACAGGGTCTCACTATGTAGCTCTGGCTGGCCTGGAATTTGCAATGCACACCAAGGTGGCCCCAAACTCACAGAGACCTGCCTGTCTCTGCCTCCCAAGTGCTGAGATTAAAGATGTCTGCCACCTTGCCTAGCTGGTACTTAGCCTCTTACCCAAAGAACTGACATAGCCTCATATAGATTTTCCAATGAAGAAAGATAGCACTATTCAGAGTAAAGCTATAATACACATTAAAGAGGGATACACTGTCAAGATTGACAGCTCACAACATGAGTGAGAGTCTTCAAGGGCTCCGATTATTGCTTGGGGCTTCCTTTCATGAGGCTCAGGAGAAGGAAAAGTTTGGTTCCTAAGGATTGTACTTTGAGTGTTTTTCTATTTTGATTGATATATTACGTCATACATTCATTTTTCCTACTAAAATTGTCCCTTCCCACGAGTCATCTAATTTTAATCATGTGCATACCTAATTATGCATAGGCATAAGATGGTAAATAGGGGAGTCTCCCTAAAAGGTAACTAGAGGACACAGTTTTGTATATGCACCAAAACCAGTTCAGGCCAAACTGCCCCTTGTAGTCTTCATACCCAGATACATTGGGAATATACTTGAATTGAAACTGTTAAAATTTGATTATTTCCAGGGACTGGAAAATTTGTACTATTGTTCAGAGGCGGGTGTACATGTAGCCTAATGCAAGTAGAGAATCAAGGGACTT